AAAGGATCCTGAAGGAGTGACAGATGTGCAACATTCTTAGTTTTCACATGATTAAGTCGGAATTCTGCAAAAAAAAAAATCTTTACCACTTAATATCTCGTTTATTGCATTCAAAATAGCAAGAATTAAGTAAAATGTAAAACGTTATGTCACCATAAGAATAAACAAGAGGAAGAGAATAATGGAAGTTGGTTTAACCATGTTATAATCTAAATAGAAATCATTTTTGATGGTTGAAAAGTTTTAAAGCTTTATTTTACCAGTACAGCTTTTTTTTGGATAGCAATTAATGAAGAGCCAAGTATCAGCTGCGCGTGTGTGCAATGCAAGACCCAAAACACAAGCATAAAGTAGATAGAATTATGTAAAAGAGTTTCAATAAAACTAAAAAGACAGAGAAACAAAAAACATAAGTATTGGGACAGCAAACACTGCATCTGAAACAGGATGGAATAAAAATGTTTTGGACATAAACATCAGGGATAAAACGGGGTCAGACAAAAAAAAAAAAAAAAAAAGGAGAAAATGATTGGAAAAGAAAAAAAGAACTATGTTTATTTTCCCACAGTGGGGAAATTGAATGAAACACAAATAAAAAGATGGAGAAGCAGATAAAAAATAAGAATAAAAGAGAGAGCAGTACCGGAAAATCCACACAATCAGTAAAAAATATTAGACAATACTCAAGGACAGGGTTTCAAAGAAAATGGACCTAAATAAATTACACAAAATAAAAAAAAGACCTAAAGAACTGGTTTATTGATAAAATTACTCCGCATTTATGTTGTCCATCCTTTTATTTCTAGTTCTACCCTAAAAAGGGGCTTATTATTGTTATCCTTTTCCTCAGCAGAGTGATTGGGCTCCATACATTACATGTCTGGGTCCAGACATCTATCGAGGAACTTATCACAGCTTCTTCTATAACCACGACAGCTCAGATCTTTTTTCACCCTGACAGATCAGTAGATGTTTCCCCAATCCATCTTTCCCTCCGCCTGCTTCATTCGACCATCACTCCTATGCAAGACACTTGAACTCCCCTATCTGAGGCAGTGGGCATTTTTATATTTAAGAAATCGTGACCTCACACTTCTTCAAGAACTATGTTGAAATAATATCAATAAAATATAGGTTTGCATTTTCTGCCACCATAACTGTATTATATGAAGATCATGCTGGGTGTTTTTTGTGTAAAAGAAAGCAGATTTAGAGGAAATATAAACTAAAGAGCTTTGATGTTTCTGTAAAATTACTGACCAATACTGTAGTTTGGACTCAAGGTTCGGTTAGGATAGCAGAGTCGAGTCGATGCATTCAAGCTGTTAACTGCAGTTTTTCGTTCAAGGCCACCTGCTGGGATGATTAAAAGGCTCCACCTCTCCTTCATCTGAAATGCTATTGATATGCTTTAGGGCAATTAACATTCTGACAGAGTTCCCTGCATTGCAAATTCACTGTTGCAAATCCACAGTTGCCTTTCACATATTTATACAAAGTTTAAAGATTCATTACCCCCCCGTTTCTCTAGTGTCATGATGTGACAGCAAGTCAATTCGATTTCAAGTCATTTCCTTTTCCAATTAGGTTGTGCTACCAAAATGAGTGAGAATATCTGCTGAAAGTTTTATGAAACTATTATTTCATTGATATGGTCTTACTTTGAGTGTTCGTTCTCAAAAGATTTTTTTTTATAGCTAACCCACTAAGTGACTACACTAAAAGGGGGGCAGGACATAAAATAAGGCAGATTTGAAACCGTTTTTTTTTTTTTTTTTTTTTTTTTTTTTTTTTTTAAGGCCAAGGTGCTTTTAAAATACCATTTGTCAAAGTTTTACATAAATGAAAACTAAGTTCACCCTGAAAAGAACAGTGAACTCTTAAGGATGTCTATATCTGAGTGGTAGGGACCACCACTGTGATGCAGAGCCTTTGGCTTAGAGTTGCACTCCTGCAGAGTTTTTCTTTCACTTCTACATCTTTCAAATCCATAGTTCGGGAGAAGCTGACATTAGTGAAATCCTCCTGAACAATGAAGTTTTTTTTTTGCGGCAGCAGCAGCAACCCTCAGCCTTATCGGTGTAGTGATTTAGAGAGGGGAGGAAATTAAGTCAATCAGTCCTTGGGTGCATTGATGAAGCTGTCAACTCAAATAACAAAAGATTAAAGCATTTTTTTCTTCTATTGGTACATGTCTCTCAAAGTGAATGTAAATGAATAACATTTTACATTACAGCAGGTTGCATAACAGACTCATTTAAGCAAAGGTAAAAAATGTTGCACATGAGGTGTGTTCCAAAGAAATCACAGATTAACGCATAAGTTTAAACTTTCCTAATGAGTGGGATGTGTTCTGATTTAAAGCAGTGATAAATATGATTTATGGGTGATTGCATCATGTATTGGTTTATACATTCTTCATCAGTTCTCTCCTTAAACTTAGAGACTATTTTTCTTGTTATGAACAATATCAGCTGGGACCTATTTTGTTTACTTCATTATCTGATGAGGTCAGAAAACAGTTTTGACTTTTGGTTAGACATCTGGGAATAGATTTTGGTTCGACACACACACACGTTGAATGGTGTTGTGTTTTTAAAACACAACCTGCCTGTGTTTTTGTGGAAGAAGACAAACATACAGTAGGAAAGACCAGAATATGATTGGGTTCAACATTTCCAAGGCAACAAGCATTCAGAAGCCAAAGTAAGGGTCAAATAATTTAGAGAATTTTTTAATAACTGCAAATAGTGACTAGAATTTTAATCTTTATTCTAATATATAATTTAAAATAATCAGATGTTTTAAACAGGAAATAGAGTAAACATAATCCAAATAAATATTAAAACTGCTTCAACAAAATTATCCTGTTTTGTTCAAATTAATTCAGTTTATTTATATAATGTAAATTCATTACACAAGGAAAAATTAAGGCACTTTGCGGAGGCAATTCTATCAGAATATACAGTCAGATTGGTTAGACGTTTTGTAAGGAAAACCAGCTGATTGCATCAAGCCAATGACTTTGAAGGATACATTCCTCCTGGAAGAGTCTACAACAATCCCTTACACCATGCATACAGTGACAGTGGAGAGGATAACATTTTTTTACTTTAAACAGGAAGAAAGCTCCAGCAGAAACAGGCTCAGTGTGAGCGGCCTTCTGCTGATGCCGACTGGGGTTCAAGAAGACACACAAAAGGAGCATATAAGCACTGATCCATAAATACCAGTTAAGCAGAAGAGCTATGAGCCAGTTTCATGCCAAAAGGGATGAAAGACAGACATACAGTTACAGTAAAAGCTGCATTTCTAGCTATGTCTAGGTGAGAAACAGGACTGAGCACTGAACAAGGGCCCAACACTATCATCTTCATCTACAATCTAAGGTGTTGATGGTAGCAGGCCACCTGGTGTTTCTCTCAAGGATGGTGTCAGAGTAGAACAGGAATAGACCAGATGAAGCAACTATGATGAGAAAAAGCATAGAGAGAATAAAGTTAGGGGTTGAACTATACTGTAGAATTGGAGAATAGAGACAGAATGAAACAGGAGGATAAAAATGGTGCTTATGTCCTCCAGCAGTCTAAGCCTATAGCAGCATAACTATAGAGATAGCTCTGGATAACCTGAGCCACTATAACTATAAGCTTTATCAAAAAGGAAAGTTCTAAGCCTTGGCTTAGAAGCAGACTTTTTCTGCCTCACAGACTACAACTGGTAGTTGTTTCCATAGGAGAGGACCCTGATAACTAAAATATCTGCCTCCCATTCTACTTTTAGAATGTAAACCTGTAGATTGAGAGTGAGGTGCTATGTTAGGAACATCATGATCAGATCTTTGATATAAGACAGCAAAGCTTTATACTTGAGGATTACTTTTAAATGCTATTCTGGATTTGACTGTAAGCCAATGAATAGAAGCTAAAATAGGATCAATATGATCTTTGTTTTTAATTTTCATCAGACATCTGCAGAATTTTAGATCAACTGAAGGCCTTTGACAAGTTTGTGGACTGCTTGACAGTAAAGAATTACATAGGTTCAGCTTTGAAGTAACAAATCCAATACAATATATTGTATCAAATCCCTTAGAGGGGGATTTTTAGGCAGTCCAAAACTCAGCAGCTCGCATCATTTCTAGAACCTCCTCTTTCCATCAAATCAGCCCACTCCTACAGCAGCTCCACTGGCTCCCTGTCAAGTTCAGAATACAGTTCAAAAACTTGTTACTTACTTTTAAATTATTCACAATCTTACCCCTCCCTATCTCTCCGATTTACTTCAAATTTCAACTCCTTTTCATACTTACATCTTCCTCTACTACCCACCTCGTTATTCCTTCCGCCCATCTTAGCACTGTGGTGAGCAGAGCCTTTTCTCGGTCTGCACCCACACTCTGGAATTCACTCCCACCTGACATCTGCAAGACTAAATCTTTATCCTTAGTTAAATCAAAACTCAAAACCCACCTGTACAAGATTGCTTTTTCATTATGACTTTTTTTTGTTACTTTCCTGTGTGTGGTTTGTGTTGTTTCATTTAGCTATGACAATGTTCCTTTTTTTATTATCTCCTATTGTTTTTACCTGTACAGTGTGTCTGAGTGTTTTGAAAGGTGCTACAAATAAAATGTATTAGTATTATTATAGATAGATAGATAGATAGATAGATAGATAGATAGATAGATAGATAGATAGATAGATAGATAGATAGATAGATAGATAGATAGATAGATAGATAGATAGATAGATAGATAGATAGATAGATAGATAGATAGATAGATAGATAGATAGATAGATAGATAGATAGATACTAAAATTCTTGATTGAAACCTTCTCTTCGTGTCAGCCTCGTTGCAGAGGTGAACTAACAAAGACAGATGATGGATGATTTTTGTTGGGACAAAAGGTTTTCCTTAAACCCTGCAGTGCCTCACCTCACCACTAGATGGAAGCAGCTGGTCTATTCGCTGATTGGTCAGCATCCTTCACCAACCAATCATGTCGATTTGCCTGCGGACCGTTATTTCCGGGTGTTTCCAATGCAGGAATCCTCTCCGTTTGATGTTTATTGTGTAGTAAAAGGAAAACACACACCCACACAAAACCTGAACGCTCTTTGGTCGTGAAAGGTTTTGAAGATGAACAGAATATTCGGTCGCGGGAAGCCCAAAGCGCCTCCGCCGAACCTGTCGGACTGTATCAGCACTGTGAGTAGTCAGCCTCAGAGGTATTGTTGTTTATGACTGCATTATGTGACCAACGATGGCGTTACTTGGCTAACACGGCCACAGAAATCCGGTCAATACCTGGCTAATTACCTTGCACCTTACTGTCAATTCCTCCCGCTGGCATATAACACAAACAAAGTGTCCTTTTACGCTCGACCCTGCTGCTGGGATGTGGAAGATTGATGTGTTTGTTCACCTCAATTATTTGAAAAAAAAAAAAAAAAAAGCTTTTACCATAGGGACCCCCATTTCATCATTCTGCTTCATTCTCTCTCTGTTCTCCTATTCTGCAGAATCTGTTAGTTCAATCTCTAACCTTCTGCTCTCTCTGCTTTTCCTCAGAGTAGCTTTGCCTCGTCTGTTCCTGTTTGGCTGTGACGTCATCCTGGAAAGAAACATCAGCTGTGCTGCTTCTATCAACACCCTTGTTTATAGATGTTGGAGATCGGCCTGTTTTCCAGTGTGGTCCTGTTTCTCTGACCGTGACTGAGTGGATGTGCTTTCTTCGTCCTCTGGCATGGGAGCTGCCTTGGAGCTCGTCTGCCTGGCTGTGTGTTTCCTGGACGGGGCCGCCTTTTACAGCTGCTTTTTGTATCTCTGCTTCTGTCTCCTTGAACCCCAGTCGGCCTCGGCAGATGGCCGCTCACACTGAGCCTGGTTCTGCTGGAGGTTTCTTCCTGTTAAAAGGGAGTTTTTCCTCTCCACTGTCGCTACAAGCATGCTTAGTGTGGGGGATTGTATTTGAGTCAATGAGTCAATGCAATCAACTGGTTTTCCTTAGATAGAAAACTTTGTATCAATTTGATCTGGTTGAACTGTAAAGTGCCTTGAGATGACATGTGTTGTGAATTTGGCGCTATATAAATAAACTGAATTGAATTGAATTGAATTACCTCTAATGCACACATACTCACAAAAGCGTCTGATTTTAAACCCAGGATGCTGACAATCATTACCTCTAATTGATCTCATCCCCTCTCAGGTGGATGCCAGGGCAGAGTCCATTGAAAAGAAAATAGGCAGGCTCGATGCTGAGCTCCTGAAGTACAAAGATCAGCTGAAAAAGATGAGAGAAGGACCCTCCAAGGTATGGAAATGTCCTCAAATCGCTTCACTTTATGAAGAAAACGCATCAAGCATTGATGTTTTATTTGTTTTGATTTTTGAATGCAGAATATGGTGAAACAGAAAGCAATGAGAGTCCTAAAGCAGAAGAGAATGTGAGTATATTCGGACATGCTGTCGATCTGCATCACTTTTACAACTGGACATTGTCTGCAGACTTTTGGTCTGCAACCTTCCGGTCTGCAATCTTTTGGTCTGCAGCCTTTTGGTCTGCAGCCTTTTGGTCTGCAGTGTTTTGGTCTGCAGCCATTTGGTCTGCAGCCTTTTGGTCTGCAGTGTTTTGGTCTGCAGCCATTTGGTCTGCAGCGTTTTGGTCTGCAACCATTTGGTCTGCAACCTTTTGGTCTGCAGCCTTTTGGTCTGCAGCCTTTGGTCTGCAGTGTTTTGGTCTGCAGTGTTTTGGTCTGCAGTGTTTTGGTCTGCAGCGTTCTGGGGCCTGTTTCAGAAAGGAGGTTAAGTGAAAATTCTGAGTTTGTTAACGCTGAAATGAGGGAAACTCTGGGTTTTCTGTTTCAGAAAGGGAGGTAAGTTAAACCTGAGAAAGCAGAGTAAGTCAAGCCCGTTTCTGAAAGAGAGGTAACTTATACTCAGAGTCAGTTACCATGGCAATTTACTCTGTGAACCTAACCTGGTCGGGAGCAGGTTTTCTTCAGAAAATCCAGAGTTTATTTTGGTCTCCTCCCCTTTTTTAAAGAGGAAGTGGTGTTTACACACCTCATTGATTCTTTGGGGACATACAGTATTCATTGCACACATTTCAGTCACGTAGAGCGCATCAAAGGGAATGAAATGGCATGTCCTTTTATGGATGATCCTGTTTGTAAAGCCAGGTAGCTACTCTACTCCCATGATGTGCTCAAGGCTTACCTGCTTGAAGTTTGTTTTTATATTTCATTTTCAGCTGCTGCCATGTTCTTTTGATGCCTGCAGGATTGCACCTATCCATGAAAACTAAATTAGGTTTAATAAAATACTGTTCTTCCAGTTTCACCTCTGATATTATAACGGTTGGGTAAGTTACTCTAAAATAGTTCTTAATTACTAACTACAAATTTTATCTTCAACAAGTCTAATTAGATTAATGTAATAATTACTGTCTCTAGAAAGTATTGGTCTACTTACTAATTTGTTTTACTTTCTTATTAATTACTTTCTAAATCCCAAATCAACCTCAACCACTTGAACAATACAAGGAGAGACAAGAAACTGCACTTCTAATGCTTAAAATAAACAATATTCAATTGCATGAATTAATCTTAAATTGACCAAAGTGTGTAACTAAAGGGAGAAAGTTCAAATCAAAATATACCTTTTAAAATTTGATATTAAATCCACTATTGTTTTATAGTCTTTAATTTAATTACAGTATTTATATGACTTAAGTAACTTAATTCATTACACCCAACACTGTATAAAAGTAATTAAAATGTAAACTTACACATTGACTCGAGCAGCTATTTTCACCCAAGCTAACTCTCTCTCCTTCGCCGCTGCAGCCGTGTTGCTTTTTTTTTAAATACATGTTCAAATTCTGCATATGCTTGCATAAGCACATCCAGTTCTGCTGGTGAGAAATATGCACACCTTTTTTTGTCTGACGCTGTTGCCATGGTGACTCGTAATATCTGTGCTCAATTGATAATGGCTTTCTATAGTTGTGGTGCACACGCTTAACCCAGAGTCAGTCAATTTAGAGTTGATTGAACTAACTCATTTCAGCTGTTCTGAAACCCAAAACTCAGAGTTTCCAATCTCAGGATAAGTCAACTCAGAGTTCAAGTTTTAACTCAGAGTTGGTTGAACTTCCTTATTGAAACAGGCCCCTGGTCTGCAACCTTTTGGTCTGCAGTGTTTTGGTCTGCAGTGTTTTGGTCTGCAGTGTTTTGGTCTGCAGCGTTTTGGTCTGCAACCTTTTGGTCTGCGGCCTTTGGTCTGCAGTGTTTTGGTCTGCAGCGTTTTGGTCTGCAGCCTTTTGGTCTGCAGTGTTTTGGTCTGCAGTGTTTTGGTCTGCAGTGTTTTGGTCTGCAGCGTTTTGGTCTGCAACCTTTTGGTCTGCGGCCTTTGGTCTGCAGTGTTTTGGTCTGCAGCGTTTTGGTCTGCAGCCTTTTGGTCTGCAGTGTTTTGGTCTGCAGTGTTTTGGTCTGCAGCGTTTTGGTCTGCAGCCTTTTGGTCTGCAGCCTTTTGGTCTGCAGTGTTTTGGTCTGCAGCGTTTTGGTCTGCAGCCTTTTGGTCTGCAGCCATTGGTCTGCAGTGTTTTGGTCTGCAGTGTTTTGGTCTGCAGTGTTTTGGTCTGCAGCATTTTGGTCTGCAGCCTTTTGGTCTGCAGCCTTTGGTCTGCAGTGTTTTGGTCTGCAGTGTTTTGGTCTGCAGTGTTTTGGTCTGCAGCGTTTTGGTCTGCAACCTTTTGGTCTGCGGCCTTTGGTCTGCAGCGTTTTGGTCTGCAGCGTTTTGGTCTGCAGCCTTTTGGTCTGCAGCCTTTTGGTCTGCAGCCTTTTGGTCTGCAACCTTTTGGTCTGCAGCCTTTTGGTCTGCAGCCTTTTGGTCTGCAGCCTTTTGGTCTGCAACCTTTTGGTCTGCAACCTTTTGGTCTGCAACCTTTTGGTCTGCAGCCATTTGGTCTGCAGCCAAGGTTCTCTAATGTTCAAACTTCACTAAGTGCTAGTGGCTGCTTATTGGTGGGGGTTGATTACAAGAGCATTTTTTTTGGCATAAGTGGAGCTTAATGAGGGCTCCATCATTTCTACAGCAGAGGCGTAGCCAGAAAATGTTAATAAGGGTGGCCAGGCAATAACCAATGTACACTGAGGGGTGGCCGAAAATGGATTAGCGCCAGAACCTCAGGGTCAATCCAACTGTTCCAGTAGGAAAATTAACGATCAAAACATCCATGTTTTCTAAATAAAGACAAACTATACTTTCCCACAGCCTTTTTACCAACAAATAGACGCATATATTTAAACATCCGTAATTTCTAGATAAAAGGTATAGTGGATAAAACTCTTTCAGTTTTGAGTTTGGGGACATCAATCTTTTCCATCGTCATTACTTGCCTATTACCGGTAGTATCAATAAACATTCTGCATAAAATTGATATTTACAAGCACTAATATCGACATAAATTGATTATTTGATACATTTCTATTAAAATTGTAAAAAATTGACTCGATAGACACATCATTTTCTCTTTACCCCATATAACACAAAATTTAGTTCTGAAAAGTGCATGAATTCTGTACTTATCATCTTTGATTTCCTACTGTACTGTGATGCAACGCTGCAATTTCCCCACTGTGGGACAAATAAAGGATTATCTTATCTTATTTTATCTTATCTTGATATTGTAAACTGATGTGCATAAATAACCAGACAAAATTAAGCTCCGCCCCAGTTCTACAGTAAAACCAAATAACTGATTCAGTTTTAGCACAGAGAAAAGTCCTGGTAGAAAGTTGGTGCTGCTCATTTACATATGCACAATATATATATTTAATGCTCTGAACTTCCATATCAATGCGTTTTTTCTTTTTTTTTTGCACCATTTTTTTCTCCCAGAGAAGGAGAGAAATTGAAATTTCAGTAAAGCTGTACAAAATGCAATTTCTTTTCATATACAACTCTGTGTATACAAAAGGACAATAAAAGTTGTCTAAGTAATTTCCAAAGAAATCTTAGATGGAGTTTTGTGGATGTAGAGAGCTCAGTAAATAGTGAGTATTAATTTTGAGTGTTAACTGATTGTTAATGGTAAACTGTAACAGTAATTTATTTTATAGTAAGCTCTACAGCCAGCACTCTTCCCAATAAACCAAATAATCTGTTGGATCTTTTTGAACAGATCTCCATGTTTCCACATTATCTCTGTGTAAAAAAAAAAGACCAAAAAAATAAAACAACAAAAATCTATGCATAGGATCTACATCTATTAATTGTTTCTGTGAAGGGCATTGTCATTAATAAAGAATAATTAAATATTTTTCTATTTTATTCTGCTCCGAACTAATATTTTCAATGCTCCAACAGGCCTGGAAAACCCTTTTGATGTCTTGCTCGGACTTTGAATAGGTGTTGCTTTAGGGAGCGTCAGGATGAAGAGGCGGAATCGAAGGAGGCCTTTTGCTTTGCCCTAAATGTTACGGATCGATCTGAGGGTTATGAAGTCCTAACACGGGTTGTGACTAGCAATAGGATGTCAATCTAAAGATAATCACGTCCTATTTTTAAGTTCAGTGATGTGGGAGAAGTTTATATCCTGTTATGGATCTTAAAGCACTTCTTTAGGGGGTATGCAGAAGCTGCGGCATTTAAGAAGCATTATTGTTTCATTTAAATACCTTAACATGTTTGAAACAACCATGTTTTTTTCCCACAGGTATGAAGGTCAAAGGGAGCAACTAGCACAGCAGTCATTTAATATGGAGCAGGCAAACTACACAATCCAGACCCTGAAGGACACAAAAACAACAGTAAGGGGCCCACATCTTAAGTAACACAATAATCAGTTCTCAGGTCTTACGAAAGTGATGGTGCTCATTTTTAAATTAAGTCAAACTTTGTGAAACAGAGCAGATAGATTTGTTTAACAAAGTTACATTGTCGTTTAAAACATCATTAAAGATTATTTTGGGTCACAGGAAGCGCGGTAGATCAATCCTTGCCACTGTTGTCCACCATTGTCCTTCAACCTTTAGCAATCTGCTATGATCCGGATTGAATCATGGCAAATGGTGGGCCATTAAATATAATCTGGAAGGACTCATTTATCAACCACATTTTAGAAGGATTTGAGAATATATACATATAAATAAAAATAGAAGTGTTTGGAGTTTGATAAAAACCAGTTAAGTTTTATATAATTCTTAAGATCTGCAGGTGTTTTAAGATACAGAAACCCTATAAATGTTGGTGTTCACTAAAGGAGCAAGAGCTGCAGAGGCATTCAGATATTGCTGGGAAGTTGATGGCTGCATGAGCATAATAATATCCATCCTTTCATCCATTATCTTACACGCTTGTCCCAATTGGGGTCGCGAGGGGTGCTGGTGCCTATCTCCAGCGCATAATAATATCAATACTGATATTAGTGATAGCAATAATATTGTACATTCTAAATAAAAACAATACACATAGACTGACTGATTAGAGAAAACAATCCAGATGTCTGAAGTTTTCTGTCCCAGCTGCTAGAATCCAGAGGACTGTTCCAGATCAGATTTCTTTACAATACATCCACAGCCAAGCTACATTTAAATGCATTTGCTGTCATCCCAATAAAAAGGTTTTAGCCAGTTACTTTTTCTTAGTTATTTCTTTGAAATATTTCTCACCTTGATGCTTTTTCCACTTTGCGTTCGGTAGGAACGGAGATTTTCTTTTTCCCTGATGTAGATGAGGTTGGTCTTCCACCACCCCGAGGTAACAAGTGATTGAATCAAGTTAATACATTTAATTAATTTGAAAACTTAAATAAATTACAACTGACAAACTTTATTCAATTACTTATTATCTATTGAATCAATTCATCTAAGTCACTAAACTTACTTGGCTGGGTTAGATATTTCTTCAGAAACAATGTAAATGTAAACACATTGTGACACAGAAAGAGCAGAGCTGAACCTAAAGTTACCCCTCTAAGCCTCTTATACTGCTTTATTCCACAGGCCATCGCAAGAACCAGATCTGTCCTGACTGGTCCTCTCATCAACAAGTCTTATTGTCGTGCCAGTGTCTAAATATAACTTCTTCTACCTTTGTTTTCCTCTTCCCAGGTGGAGGCAATGAAGATTGGAGCGAAGGAAATGAAAAAAGCTTACAAGGACGTCAAACTGGATCACATCGATGTACGTTTGTCACATAGTCTTTGTCTCCTGTCCTTTGACTAACATAAATTGCTTCTCGCACACAAAGCTGTTAATTACTAAGGGTAGAATTATCATTTTTTCAATGTTCCAACAAATATTTTCATACTTTGTGGAACAGGCGTAGGAAATGATTACACTTTTGAATGTAATCTCTGCTTAATGAACCAAACTAAGTTAATTTGTGCTTCCATTCACTACTAATGCAGAGGCAAGGCAAGTTTGTGGAGCACAATTCATTGCAAAGACAATTCAAAATGCTTTACATGAATTAAACAGTATAAAAGAAGAAAAACAAAAGCAGAATTAAAGCAAGTAAATATAAAACATAAAAACAGACACAGACACCCGGGTGGTGGCTGATGGACCTACAGTTACTCGACCCAGACGCTTTCATTGGGTTTTTGTATTTTCTAAAAAATGGGCTCAAGGATATATTTATTGAATGATAAGAGAGAACCATAAAACTCTAATGTTTATAATTATAGATAGACAGAGAGATGCCCTTTAGTTCATTATACATATAGGGCTGGAAAAAAAGCATTAATGTAAAAAAAAAACAAATAACAGCCATTTCCGATGCCAAAATCAATATATCATGCAGCCCTAGAAGTACAATTTCAATTCCATCCATCCATCCATCCATCCATCCATCCATCCATCCATCCATCCATCCATCCATCCCAGTAATCCCAGTAAATGTGTTTCACCTTAAATCTGCAGCTCTCCCTACACTGAAAAATATAATGTAACCGCTTTTCATAAGTGGAGCATAGGAACTAAATGCTGCTTCTCTGTGTTTGATTCTAGTTCTGGGGGTACAGAGTAGACTTGAACTAGAAGACCTGAATGGTCTGGGAGGTTGATAGATTGATAACAAACCAGTTATGTTTTGAGGTGCTGATCCATTCAGTGATTTATGGACTGACATTTTGAAGTCTATTCTCTGAGCTACAGGGAGCCAATGGTAGGACTTCAGAACCAGGCTGATTTCTTAGTTCTAGTGAGAACACGGCATCAGTTTCTTAACACTTTCTTATCGTTGATTGATCTCTTAATCTCTTAATATATCTTTCTAATTGATAGAAATATATATGAGCTATATATTTTGATCTAATTTATTCAGTAGGGGATACTGGCATTGTAAAAAACCCACAAAAAACAAGGAAGTTGCATGGACAATTGTCGTTTTGACTGATGAAAACACAACCTTGCTTCCCCAAAAATCCTTTACTTTAGTCTATTAGTCATTGTTAAAAGAAATGGGTACATGTCCCATGTTATATTTGTATTTGGTTATTCTATTTTATTTTGTTATACATCTTTATTATGGGTACCAACACATCTCTCTGTGTCTTTATGGTCTAATTTCTTTCCAAATAGGCTGTGTGCATTTTATTAAATGCAATAGAGGGTTAGCAGTAAATAAATCCAGCTGACAGGAGGGATCCAGTTTGAAACAGCTTATCAGAAGACATAGCTGGTAAACCAAATAAATTATATTGGAATTTACTTATTTTTTTTACTTATGATGGGGTTTAATATCATGCATTTCTCTTTGGGTGGCTTGGGTTTTTACTTAAACGAATAAAAGTGAATTGAATTTAACCAAAAGCAGGTGAGATCTTAGAGGATGGAGTGGTGGATAGAGCTAATCCTAGACAGCTTACCCAGTCACGATGAGACATATAGCTGTTTTCATCCTGATAGCACACGGTCAGCGTCTCGTTAAAATTAAACTTTTCCCTGTTAAAAGTGTTTATACTGAAAATGGAGACTGTTTGCTTTGGACTTGCAGGATTTACAAGACCAGTTGGAAGACATGATGGAGGAAGCTAACGAGGTACAGGAGTCCCTGAGCCGCAGCTACGGCACGCCGGACATTGACGAAGAGGATCTTGAAGCAGGTTGGTCATAAAACTTTAAAATCTTTTCGTCATATTTTGGGCAAATGGCTCCTTCGACAGACTGATCACAAGTAATGAAAGAAATGGGTCAGCAGCAGATCTCTAATAACATCACTGCCTTGTTTTTGTTTTTTTCCTCTATTGATGAGAGAAAATAATATCCTGCTTATCAGTCATGTCTGCAGGACCACTGATAGCAAATGAAGGGAGGCATATGAGCAGGACAGACCACACTGAAATGGAATGATAGATGAAATGTAAATTGGACTGGAATAAATCACTGTGTTTCAGAGCTGGATGCCCTGGGGGATGAGCTGCTGCTTGATGATGATACCTCCTACTTGGACGAAGCGTCAGCTGCTCCATCTATCCCAGAAGGAATTCCCAGCGACAGCAAGACAAACAAGGTAACAATCCCACAGGTTGATGTTATCAGCAGATCTAGTCTTACATTCAAGGGTCGCACAACCTCTATTTTATCACAGACAAAGCAGGAACCGTCCATCTTAGTTTCAGAACCAGCAACCCACCAGCAATAGAACTAACTCTTCCATCCCTTTGATTTGTGCACTAATGTCCACTAAGAGGCAACTGACGCCTTCACAGGTCAGCTGGATTTCTGCAGAAATCACACACCAACGGACTCCACCAAATGATTAAAGGACTTGTTTAGTAGCACTGGATGTGTATTTCAGGGAGATTTTAACTCTATGAATGATTTATCTTCCACTTCAGACATTTTTAGGCAAGGCAAGGCAAATTTATTTGTATAGCACAATTCAGTACAAAGACAATGCAAAGTGCTTTACATGATTAAAATATAGGAAAATAAAACAGAATCAAAGCAGGTAGGAAAAATATATATATACATAAAAAATGCAGAAACAAAAAAACATTAAAAACAGTCGGACTTAAGAAAATAAAAAAACAACTAATGATGATTAACTAATTATGTTTCAGTTGAACTTTTTAACTAGAACAGTCGAAGGCAATCCTAAACAAATGTGTTTTTAGTCTTGATTTAAAGGAATTCAGGCTTTCCGCACTTTTACAGTTTTCTGGAATTTAGGAACTAAATGCTGCTTCTCCATGTTTAGTTCTGGTTCAAGGTATGCAGAGCAGGCTGGAGCCAGAAGACCTGAGTGGTCTGGAGGGTTGATACACTGATAGCAAGTCTGTGATGTATTTAGGTGCTAAGCTATTCAGAGATTTATAGACTAACAGAAGTATTTTAAAGTCTATTCTCTGAGATACAGGGAGCCAGTGTAAGGACTTTAGAACTGGGTTGATGTGCTCTACTTTCCTGGTCTTAGTGAGGACACGGGCAGTTCTTCCTGTTGATGTATCTCATTAGAATACTAATGGGTCATGTTAAACTTGTGCAGAATTTCAAAGGGAATATAAAAGAAAAGGAGGTTTACCAAAACTCATCACAGCTTTCTGTTCACATTATGTAATGATAATGTTAGATATTAACAAAAGATGTGATATTTCTTTTAAATAAACATTTATTTTCTCTCTTTTTTTTCTCATTTGTCAAATTTGTCATTTTTTCCTAGCTTTGTATTTTATCTCACATATCAAGTCTTTCAGTAGGCTAATGTTTAATTCAGATAGAGTTGCTAATTAATTAATATGTTTATTTTCTTCTGTTTGAGCGAACAATAATTGGACAGCAAAAGGTCATTTATGGCAGTTGTTGTTTTTTTTACAGCGTATAAATGTAATAGTTGGAAGTATATGTTTGTGTGTTTTAGTTATTTACAGTCAAATAAAGAAGTGGTTAATCTAGATGATTTCTTTCTTTTTTAGGATGGTGTTTTGGTGGATGAGTTCGGCCTGCCTCAGATCCCAGCCACATAAAAGCAAAATGGAGACAGCTGCACTTCAACTGAAAACACTTTTCCATGTAGAGTAACATTTATACATGCAAACACACTGGATCTGAGAACACTACTATTCCGAAGCTGCCCTGGTGTTGGATTGTGTAAGGTTACAACTACCATGTTAGGCATGTGGCCTTTTAGATAATTATTCGCCATTGTTTTCTACCTGTTTGTCCTCACCAATGTTTTAGTGTTATTAGTTAATTTCATGGTTAATTTGTATAATTTATTAGCTTTATGTTTTGTTTAAGTCCTTATCTGATTGTTTAAGATCTCCAAGGTGGAGCTGATTTTCATTCTCTGCCTGTTTGAAATATCTGCAGGGGTACTTGAAACGTGCAAAATAAATTATGTCTTTTATCTTAACTTTGAGTTGGTAACTTATTGATTGTAATGCCTTTTTTTCTTTGTAGGGATTTTTTCTCTTCTACCTATGTATTAGAGATAGATCGATACATTAGGCAGCCGATATTTGGTTTTCTTTTCTTGTATCGATATCGGCAGATATGTCCATGCTTCAGCCGATTCATTAACACATAAAGTACTCATCTAGGCAATATGCCCCATTTGCGATCTATTGTTAATGCTTTCTTTGATCTGTTAATAAATATTTCTCTTTTTAATATAACAACTCTTTTGTATCATGTAACTGGAGGAAGAGAAAGAAATATCATCCTAAAGAATCAGCCCCACAAATTTTGACAGCAAAAATTGGGGATCAGATAAACTGATGTCAAAATAATCGGTATTAGCATCAGCCTAAAAATAAAACTGTATCAGTGGATCTTTACTATGTATTACCAATTTTTTTAAATACGAATTCTTTTGATGAACTGCTTATTTCATAGTAGTTTCTAAGACTTAAATCCAGTAATTCTGATACATGGCCAGTTTTATTTATAATATCTGAGATTATTATCTATCTTTAAGTCATATGTTTTGGATTTCCTTTGGTTTGGTTTGGTAACCTTTTTCATTGATCCCTCCCTAAGAAAAGCCATTTTTCAACCTGAAAAGAGTTGATGCACAATTTAAAAGCATTTATTTTTAAATCCTTTCTGTTATTGTGTATTAGTTCCTTACAATTAATTTTCTAACAACATTTTTGCAAAAGTACAGTACTGACCCTTGCAAGAGACGTTTATTAAAAAATGTTTGTGTTGGATCTTTGTAAAGATCCAAGATACAGTATTTTCTCTGAGTGGAAGATCTGAAAACCTGGAATGATCAGCAATGTCACCTAAAAGGTTTTTTTTTTTTCTTTTACAAGAGTCCCCTAGTTTTCTTTTTATATAAGATGTCAGTAAAAGTTAGGCGAGAAAAAAAAAAGTTACAAAAGATTAATTATTTTCTTAAGTCCTCAAAAAATTTGATATCCCTTCAATAATTTTGTGATGATCTCACACATTTACAGTTTTATTTACATATTTTCAAACCCCACTGCACACACACAAATCGAGATACAGATACACAACTCTCCACACACATTTCCAAATAATAAAGCAACAATTTTGGCCCCATAGGGCACCGTTTCATTCACAACACTTGTCCCATTAACAAGGAATCAGAAATACTTTAATTATCCCAGGTTACATGACTCCATCTGTAATAGAGTGACTATAGGAACAGTTTGATATAACACAATTTCATACAATATATATAATTAGGGGGTCCCCGCTCCATCTCGCCATCAGTTTGGTGGTCCTTGGCCTGGAAAACGTTGAAGACCCCTGCTATATGCCATCAATGTTCTTTTTTTTGTACACCATATTGCAAGGTATTTAGAAAGAAACAAAACTTTTAAAGGAAAATAAAAATACAAGTACAAGTATTACTAACCGATATACCAGAGCAGTTTTGTTGTTGTGATGGAGCTTACAAAGTTTTTGAAAAGTCAGTGGAATAGCAAACTACTTCCTGCAAAAAAAAAAAAAATGATTGCTCTTTTGTAGAGTTTTGCAAAAAAACATGGTATCTAGTTTAAGTTGAGGAATTTGAATCATGCTTTGTGAAGATGCAGTAATTTTTACACAAACTACAAAAAGTATTTGAAACATTTAAAATTCGTATGTTTTTGCAGGGCTGTATCGTAGTTTACTGGTACACTAGTAGACGGAAAGGTATAGTGACACATTAAAACAGCGTGAAATTTCCATAAAAATCCGACTCTGGTGGGACTCGAACCCACAACCTTTGAATCTCATCCTTTGAGCTTAGCTAGAAGTCCAATGCGCTATCCATTGCGCCACAGAGCCAGTTGGACGGCCCACAGTTTCTGAGAAACAACCTTTTAAATAACTCACGAGTAGTCATCCTGTTATAAATAGTTCTGAGTTCCGATGTGCAAGTACCATCCCCCCAAAAAATATAAACTATAAAAATAATGAGGCCACGTGGTATATTGTAAGGATGTTATGATTGATTTTATATGCATGTATTAGTTACCGAAAACTTCTTACAAAAAAAAATCCGAACATTGAAGTAAGTGTTTCCGGTCCACACTCCTTACCAGTTGGTGGCGGTAATGCTCACCTAACGTTTTTGCCAACCGCAATAAAAAATTTAACAAGAAGAAGAAGGAAGTGTTTCCTGTTGTCCCGGAAAAGGTTAGCAATTAGCAAATGTTAGCAGCGTAGTGTGTTTAATGTAAGGACGGGAGCCAGAGCGCAAAATGTCAGAGGAAACAATAACTGTGACAGTTGCTTACGGTAATACAATTCAAAGCATTAACCTAAAGCTGGTCATAGAATGATGACTTTTGTTTATCAGGCGGACTTTGGGCTGAGATGCTAACTAATGTAGCTCATCCTTAGCAATAATTCATGTTACAATGGAGTAAATCACTTTTAAACATTACACACTTTAAAAAGAGATATCTTGAAAATTTATTAAAAAATTAATTATGTTAGAACATGATTAATGACGCCGCTCTATTAAGCCTGCATTTGTTCTAAAATGTATTTGATGCAGTATTTTCTCCTTGTTAAGTTTCTGTGCATGTTTATATTTATATGCATGTGACATGTTTTTTGATAAATATTGCTACACTATTTAGCATTTACAGAATAATCTTTAATGTAAAAAAATATCTAAAATGAGGACTGCATTTTCAAAATATTATTAATAAAAATGTGTTAACCATAAAAAAATGAACCAGTTATGCATGGCTTTTATTTATTCTAATCAATATTAGGGTTGCAACTAATGATCATTTTACTCATCGATTGATCTTTCGATTGTCTTTTTCGCTTAATAAATTAATAATTAAACAGCTAAAAGTTCCTAAAGGAATATTTTTCTTATGCAATTTAAACTTGTTGAAACTAAAACTTTTTCACTTCAGGAGTTCTGGATATTTATATTGACAGATTATTTTTTCTTTTTAATCTTAAGTGCAAAATGTTTTTATATTTATTTTACAATTTTGGTATAGTTACTGCTTCACTGAAAAAAAATTATGCAACTGTTTTTGGCTGTTACTTAATCATATTTAGATACTTTAACAAAATAATTTCATAATAGCAGGTAAGGACATAAAACAATTGTGTTAAAGTAACTTAATATGATTAAGTAAAATGGTTGCATGATTATTTTCAGTGTTTAGTGGGTTTTTCTTTCAGCTGACGTCATCATTTAGGGTCAGATTGAATACTGCTGATTATTATTTCAAGGGTTACCCTAACCCTATTTTAAGTTTAGGGGACGTTTGTAATTATCTTTATGTCTTTAGTCATTTGAAAAACTCTGCTGAATAATCAGTACATAATTTTTTATTAAATTCCTACATTGATTCTGCTTTGATATGTTTTTATTTAAATTATATTTTTGTGTTTTTAAGGATCGACTAAGCACAGCATCACTCTAGCATGCCATGAGGATGGAACAGGGCCCACCGTTAAAGATTTGTCAGATGCTCTTAGTGAAGCTACTGGTGTCCCTCCGACCTCACAGAAACTCATTTTTAAAGGTAAACTGCTATTCAATTAGAAGTGGTCTCATAGAAGTCGAGTTCATTTTGATATCTAGCTTTAACCTGTCACTACAGGAAGGTCTCTGAAAGACATGGAAGTGACTCTCTCCAGTTGTGACATAAAAACAGGCTGCAAACTCATGATGATTGGAAAGCGGGTAAGGACTTTACACTCGCCATGTCTAAGGTCTGAGCATGTGTAAATAAGGAGATACTTACATGAATCTACAAACAGAACAGCCCAGAGGAAGAGGCTGAACTGAAGAAGTTGAAAGAAATTGAAAAGTCTGTGGAGCAGATGGCTAAAAAGCTGGAGACGGTCGATGGGGAACTAACTGGATTAAAGAACGTAAGCAGTCGATTATGGCGGCATAACTGTTGTTTACTGAGTGTTTTGTCCACAATGTGTTTCAGTAAGTTATAAACAGCCTTTTTTTCTTCTTCTTCTGTCAGGGGTTCCTCGCCAAAGACCTCCAGGCAGAAGCGTTGAGTAAACTAGATCACAGAGTAAAAATAGCAGCTGAGCAGTTCATGAAAATCCTGGAGCAGATAGATGCCATGGTGATCTGCTTTGGTATACTCTATTTATTTTCAGGGATGTTTTAATTATAGTGACTTATTTAACCTTTTTAGCTTTCTTCTCATTTTAGAGCCTCCCAGAAAACTTTGCTGACTGCAGAACGAAGAAAAAGGGCCTGGTAAAAACAGTGCAGGTTGGCGTTTAATATTATTTGTTTATTCTTAAAAGTACACCCATTTTTTAACGGCCTTGATTAAAAGGAATAACTATGATAATTTTGTGTTTATAGGATTTCCTGGCACAGTGCGACAGGATCGAGGCTTGTATATCAGACCACCTAACAAAGGTCCAATCCAAAAATCTGGCTCTGGCGGAGTAGACAACTCTTCTGTGTTGTGTGCTTTAAGTTGCTCTATGAGCAATGCAAAGATCTAAAGACTGCTTCAAGTGCGAAGCAGATCCTACTTTATTTATTGTGAGGAGTGCGATGTGTAGAAAAGATTTTCACAACAATCGTTTGAAAACACGGATGTCAGTCCCCAACATTGAGGTCTTCTGCAGTCTGTGTTCTTTCCACCCCAACACCCAGTTATTGCTTTGGACACTTCTTTAGAGGCTTAAAACAATTCTTTAACAAAATGCATGTCAGAAATCTTTTTTTGTGTGTTTGTTCCGGTTTCAAATGTCTCTTGAATTCAAGACCACATTTATTTGTTCTTACCGGTAATGTTCTGTTTTGACTGCTGGAAATACAACAGAGCAAAGAGTAATCAGTTCAGACACATACATGCTTTTCCAGATAAAAGTCCTATTTGGACAACTTTTAGGTTTCTTAATACCAATTTTATTTTGTATTTTCACATTAATCCAGACCTTAAAAAGTACCTAAATCAAACTGTAAAATTCTCTTAAATACGAAAGAGATATTTATGATTTTACGAGTTTAGGGTTTAGAACACAAATCTGCTGTTTTAATGCATAAATAAGACAAACATTTAAACCCCAACCATTGTCAGAAATGACCATTCACAAGTTTAGTTCATGTACCTCTGGATATGCATTTTTATTATTTTGATCTGACATAAAGAAACCTGAAGTCACCTGAGGTGTTTGTCGTACTTTGTGTCCTTATCTGTAGAATCGTACGGTCATGCTAACTGGTGTTAAGTTTTGTTTCTGCAAAATGAACAGAGATTCTGTCTTGTTTCAGACCACAATTTAATGTCAGAACATTACTACAAAAACACAAGTTATTTGTCTTAATTATACACCTCGTGTCAGTTTATTTCCAGCTTTCTCTATCAGGGTCTTTTTCGCCTGTCTTTTACTTACATAATTGGACCCTGTAGTGTCATCACAGATGTGCAAAAGAGCTCTGAAAAGGGGAGGGGGGACCCAGAGGTCAAGGAAGCAGCTTGAACAAATGACCTTCAGCAGGCTATACCACAGAGAAGCTTTTCATCAGCCAAACTAAGGATATAGCTGATCTAATTAAAACAGAAACCCGTTTAAAAGATTCAAATGAAGCGTAAAGTGAAGCTCGAAAGGCACATCTGCCGCCACTAATCATCTTTGTCCTTGGCGCCATGTTTTAAAATACGTGTGAAAGCTACGTAGTTGAAGTTGCCTTTCTTGTCAATCGGCGCCTCGCGGAAGAGCTCGTCCACTTCCTCATCGGTAAACCTGTCGCCCATGGTAGTGAGCAGCTCCCGCAGGTACTCCTCCTGGATCACACCTGAGAGGAGAGACGCGTTTAAATCTTTGGAGGATGGAGAATAAAAAAAGCTTGCTGAAACACTATAACTTACCTGTACCCTCTTCGTCAAAGCAGGCGAATGCGTTGCGGATCACGTCCTCTGGATCTGTGCCGTTCAGCTTCTCTCCAAACATGGTCAGAAACATGGTGAAGTTTATTGGCCCAGGAGCTTCATTCATCATGGCCTCCAGGTACTCATCAGTAGGATTTTTACCTTGAAAATTCAACACAAAAAGAAGAAAAACTTAGTATTCATCTACTTTAGTTGCGTATTCAAGGTTTCATAACTTTCTTCACTAAACTAAATAACATCTCTTTCTTCTACCATATTAAATTGCCTCAAGGGTTTTGAACTGATAGTCTGAACATGATTTTATGTGAAAAAAAAGTCACCTAATGAGGCGAGCATGTCATGGAGATCTTCTTTGTCAATGAATCCGTCTCTGTTTTGGTCGATCATGTTGAAAGCCTCTTTGAACTCCTGGATCTGAGACTGATCAAACATGGCAAACACGTTTGACGTGGCCCGCTGGGGGCGCTTCTTGGTGTTCTTCCCCTTTGCTCTTTTACTTGACATGTTGCTGGGTAGACGGACCTGTCTGCAATGGAGGAAATGCTGAAACAGTCAATTTTGTTCATTTATCAACTTGTAAATGCAAAAAGATGTCTTAAGACTAATATTTATACAGTGACTATCCACTTATGATGGAGGTATTGATAGATGTTCAAGGTAAAACCCTGCATAATGCATTTATATATATATTTATTTTTACATATATTGTTTTAGCTAATTTAGATATAAGAGAATTTTTATGGTTTAAGTTGGGCTGCAACAAGCGATCATCTTGTTAATCGAATAATCTATCGATTATTTTTTCGATTTATCGATTAATAATCAGACAACCAAAGGTTCCTTAAAGATTTTTTTTTCCAAAATAAACCAGTAGAAACTACTTTTTACCAACTTGGCGATTCTAGATTGAATATATTGACAGATGAAAAATGTTATCTTCATTTTAAATGAAACATGAACCATGCAAAAGTGCAGCATGGATGGATGGACCAAAAATTGGGTAGATTGGTGCACAGACAAATGTGTTTAATCAGATAAAGGCTTCACTCAATGGATTGACAGAGAATTGATTGACAAATGAAATGAAGAGAAAGTGTGGAGGCAAAGAATGATGAGTAGATTCAAATAACTAAACACAGACCAATAAGAAATATACTGTAAATCATTCCCATTTTTTTTATAACTTTTCCCTATATTTGTCTAGGCAAAATAACAAATACTTTCCCAGTGTGGGTAGGAAACAAATTCTGTGAGCACTTAATACTTCAGATCAAAAGTGCCAGACCTTTTAGTCTGTTTTCAAGTGTTTTTACACAGGAATTAGATAAAACAAAAAAGGGGAGTCGAATGGGGCATTCAAAGTACCTCGGAAACTTGACAATCCATATGAAACTATATCAACTCATATCAAATAAGCACATATTGACCAATAAAAAATATTGCTGGAATTACTTTATATGGCAAAAATCTTGTCACTTGTTTAAAAAAATAATAATTCTTACCAACTCTTTGTTTTTATTAAACATCAGACTAAGCTAGCGGTACTGTAACAAACATACAATATATTCAGTAAACAGTTTTTGACATATATTTGAATATGTGTGCTCTATAATAATACACATCGAACCCATTATGCTTTATCTTGCGAATATAATTTAATAAAAACATATTATTTAATGAAGTTAGCCATGTCCCCTGACCTACATTACAATTAGCTTTAGAATACTAGCTTTGTTTGGAGGAAAGATATATCGCTCTTTTCTCAGTTCGAGTAAGTTCTGTGAGCATTTTTAAATTGCAAATGAATGACCCACCTGAGAAGAAATGTAAAATGTGCAGAGAATTGCAGTAAACAAAGCTAACGGCACATCCCAGTCGGAGCGGAGCAGAGCTGGAAAGAACCAACTCTCTGGAATGTTCCATTCTCACATACCCGCATCTGTTTTTGTTTTAACCTGAAGTAATTATTTTTTTAAATAATAATCTATAGTAATAGGGGATATGCATTTTCTCGGGTTAACAGGCTACAACCATGAAAAAATAAATCGATAATAATAGGAATTAATCTTTTCTAAATGGGACAAACGGTTATATTTATTATTATTATTATTATTGTCACTAGATGGCAGCATTTGTACATAATTTGAATAAACTTCCAACATTCCTGAAATTGTTCTGATTTATGTCATAAATCCAAGTCAAATCTATTTTTTTTTGTTTTTTTTTTTTTTGTTTTTTTTGTATTCCAAATGTATGGTTCTAAAAAGGGGGTAGGATATTAATTAATATTAATTATGTCATAGAGATCACTGACATTCATGCTGATAAACTTAATTACATGTAGTAAGTGACAACACTGAGCACATGTTGTTAAGAGCTGTTGGAATTGAATCATATAGCAGGATTGTGCTTCATGCAGAGCTCTTAAGGTGCCCTAACCATGTCTCTGAAGTACAGTGGAACAGCTGAGGGGCCAGGCCCAAGGCTTCTGAAACCCTTCTCATGGTCTAAATTTAAAGCTGCCCTGTCCTTAAAAGGTCCTTGTGCCTTCTGCAGAGTGCCAGCCTTAATTTGGTTCAGTGGGCTGCTGTCCTGTCCACTGACCCTCACCCTGCTGATTTTTGCTGGATCTGAGCTTTCTTGTTTGGATTAAAACACCCATTTTTCTCTCCGTGGACTCATACATTTTTATCTGTGGTGAGTAATGCCTGGCTGTTTGTTTTTCTCATTCTAATCCATTAAATTGATGCATATTTGTGTCTTTGTACATTTCAATTTTGTAATATAGGCCCTATTATCATTTCATTATTTTGTCATTATTTCTTTTTTTTTTATATCTTTACTGCTTCCTTTTTCTAACAATCAAAAAACAGTTTTGGATCATATTCTAATAGATTGATTTGCATGTGTCTGATTTATAATGATATACTGCAATAAAGTCTAGATTATCTGCTTGCTGTTTAATTTTAAAAGTTAAGAACACATCTCTGTTGTGCAATATAATAAACTGTACACCCAATCTGTTGAGATGTTACTTGTTGAAAAACAGCAATTCCTCCGATTAACAATTTTAAACCTTAACTTTTCTACTAAATGTGTTAGAAACGTGGTTATAGTGACCATTGAGGTATTATTTTAACAAAAGGCCCTGGTTGTAGACAGTCTCGCGCTTGTTCTAGCTGATCCTCTACTATACAAAATGACAAAGGTTAGTGTCTTGCAGATGCAGCTAGTTTTCTCTTAAGTTGTATTTTTTTTCTTTAGTTGCTTTTTACCCATGCATTGTTTATAACAATGTTATAGTTCCCTTTATCTTTGTATGTCACATTTTATGCATATTATTATAAACAAATTTAATATTATGTCACACAAGGACAAGAAATACAGTAGGAACAAATCTACTTTCTAAACAAAATACTGTACAGTTATTAAAGTAGCATGATCAAAAAAGAAATTAAAGAAATGTGCAGCTGAATAGGGTGTTTTTTATGTGCAAAATATGTATGCATATTTATGCTTAAGAAATGCCAACTATTTACACTTGATGAATTTTATCAGAATTTCTTAACATTAACTTTTCTAATTATTTATTCAATGTTTATTCTTAATAAGTAGAGTCACTGAAGGACTGGGTATCTAAACCCCCAGAATTACCTTTGCATGGTGCAATAATCTGTTCATGATTGGGTTATATACTTTTTATTCTGCACCAGTAGCTTCGGTAAAAATAACTTTTTATCAAGTTGTTCTTTTACAGTAAAATATAATAAATACATGTTATAATGAATATTATAATTTGGTAGCGTAAATCATATTTGAAAAATCTTGTTATTCATCTTCCTTTCCTGATCTACACTACCACAAAATAACAGTAAGGGTGTTGGAAAAATAAAGCACTGCTGCTGAATTTAATTTATAACTGCCTGCTTCATTTAACACAGTAGATGTGGATCCTGGACAGAGCTAACCCTTCAGCCATGAAAACATAAATATTCATAACCCTGACCTGAAAAAAACAAACATATTTCCAGCAGTCACTAATTCCCTAAACCACCCATCTTAATATCTAATCACCATGCTCTGTTTTTCTCTAACCTCGAGCCCAGAAATACATCTATCATAATAACAGTGAGATTGCTTTACAGAGCGGGTAAAGTAAAGGGCAGCCGTTGTAAGTTGGCGAAGCGGCCCTTCGAGATGTCACGATCAGTGCAAGTGACACAAAAGCAGCAGCAGCAGTTGCAGCTGCGTCAACAGCTGGAAGAGAAGCAGCACTATGAGAGCAGCTATTACCTGAGCAGCAGGTCATCTGTTAGCAAGCAGGCCTTCTCTACTCACAAGACCAGCAGCCACCGGTAAGATGCTGGAAGTGCATATTCTCTGAAAAACAACAATAATTGATCTAAAATGCACTTTTCTGGATGTGGCCTGTTATTCAATATTATTCAAGGTTTTTTAAAATGCAGTTGTTCAGACATCTTCGCCTTCTCTTTAACTGTACCCTTGTAGTCTGGTTGCATTAGATGTATTTTTGTACAGAAAGAACAAAAGAAGGAAATAAGTTATTAATATAATAACGAGTTCTTGTCCAATTAATGATAAAACTATTTTCTGTCCTTAAAAATCGAGTCAGGATAATAATTTAAGTTTTAGTAATACATCTGTATGAGAAAGACTTAGTATTTTAGTCATATTTATTAAAAAAATGAATGTTGTTTTTCCATATCATGTTGGTCAAAAAACTGGATATGCATTTAATTAGATGTTTTTAGTACTATATTTTCACCAAGGGACTGGGCTTGTCTCTTGGGCAGTAACTCAAAAAAGTTCTGACAAAATGTTTTCCTACAAATGGGACATAATGACATTATTAGATTTCATTGGCAAGGTGCAATTAAATTTCTGTACAAATTAATAGCCAACTTTATTCATTATTTTGATTTGTCTTTTGCAGAGAAGTCTAGCTTCTATCATCAACTTTTGCTTTGCAATTTTGAAGGTGTCAACACTTAATCTTGCTTTGGTTTCAATTAAAAGTAACAATTCTGGTCAGATTTGTTCATCTTTACTCCTAGTTTCCTTAAAAACTGCAATATTTGTAAATTGTTAAAGCGTTTTTTGATTGGTTTCAGAAAGACAGTGTTGAGTTAAGTACTACGAATAAAGTAGAGCAACAGCTTCTTCAGTTGATCATTTTCAGTTTCAGTTGATCAGTTGATACAGCACTTATGATGATTATATTGAGCATTGTCAAAACCTAAATATTAGCTCTTCTTCATAGAGAAAGCATCCAAAATGTATTTTAAATGAAAAAAAATCTACCTATATTACATTATAGACCTATGGTTTTAAGATGTATTCTTGAAAACGATCAGCACACCTATCAAATAAGTAATAATTGTAGGAAAGAATACGTCAATCGTCAATATTAAGGTTGTCAGATACGTTGCAAAGGTCACCTTAATCTTTAAGGCATCCATTGTTTTCTTAAATTGGATGTTTTG